CAGACGAGTGAACCAGCAGGGGGAGCTAGAGGAGCTGGGATACATCCCATCCAAACACAGGTCCGTATAGTACACACAGTACTGTGGACCTGCTGTAGTACTATTAGCTGCTCCGCCGTAACACTCCTGAGGTGTGAACACAATGTGTGTTTGTATGTTTCAGGGTGGAGAGGAAGGAGTGGTCGCGCATGAAGAGTAAAGGTGAGTCTTCTGCTCTCATAACAAAGCAGGAACTGAGACTGACAAAATGCTGATCCTGTTCTTCTCCTCACAGGTAGAGAAGGGTTCGTCCACAGCTACGAGCTTGTCACCCAGATCGAAGGTCAGTGTCACTTTAACCTCTGACCCTGTTTTAAGATTTTACAACAACACAGTCCTTCTGTTGTACGTCAAAGTCATGAGGAATAGATACACTGGGGTCAGGTTAGCACACTCAGCGCCTACAGCTTCACTAAAGTTCAGGATCCTCGCAGACCCTTGTGGACCCCCGTGGACCGTCATGGACTTGGACAGATGATTTATACGTTCAGACCCCTGCAGATACTATAAATTGAACTTTACTCTTACTATTTGTTCCATGCAGCAATAAGAGGCACACTGCATCCAGGGCCCCAGAAGGCCCCTTCAGACACAGGCCTGGGGGCTTTGATGTTTGGAGGGCCCCTAAAGCAGAGTCTCTGTTAGAGGTGATTGTTACAAAGACATGTGAAACGACCACACAGACTTGACTCAGAACCAAAACGCTGTGTGTTTGACACAGTAGAGGGAATCGGCCCAGTTGGCCCAGTTTAGTATCCGTACTGGTTATTTTTTGTGTATTTATTATCTGTATCCTCCAGGTGTGTTTGTTAATGATGGTGTAAATAAAGTTTCCTGTCTCTGTCTCCAGTGGACTACGCTCGTCCCGTCATCATCCTGGGTCCAACCAAAGACCGAGTCAATGACGACCTGTTGTCCGAGTTCCCAGACAAGTTTGGCTCCTGTGTCCCTCGTAAGTGTCGTTTCGTCGCGTTGAAACAGGAAATGGGGCATAAACAAACAGAAAGTGACCGATGTATCTCTCTCTGCAGACACGACTCGCCCTCGGAGGGACTACGAGGCCGATGGGCGGGACTACCATTTTGTGTCGTCACGGGAACAGATGGAGCGCGACATCCAGTCACATCGCTTCATTGAGGCGGGGCAGTACAACAACCACCTGTACGGGACGTCGGTGCAGAGCGTCAGACAGGTGGCCGAGCAGGTGAGACTCGCCAATCTATTACATCATACGATTACCATTGTGACGCATGTTGTGGTTGTCATGGTAAAGGTTGAAAGATAATTTGGTGGTGATGTGTGTTGACTGTCAGGGGACTATAAGCAGGTGTTCCTAATGTGTTCATGTGTGTGCGTGTTCACCAGGGGAAACACTGCATCCTGGACGTGTCGGCCAACGCCGTGAGGAGGCTGCAGGCAGCTCAGCTTCAACCTATCGCCATCTTCATCCGACCACGATCCCTGGAGAACATCCTGTAAGTCAGCGCAGTCATCACATTACAGAAGATGTTGATGACGTTGCTGCTGTTTCATTGGGACTGCAGATAATTTATGTTATGTGGGAGTTTTCTTGTATATTAGGAATAAATACAGAAGTTCATGGTGTGTTTCTGTTTTTGCGCATGTGCGCGTGTGCAGGGATCTGAACAAGCGTCTGTCGGAGGATCAGGCGAGGAAAGCTCTGGATCGAGCCATCAAACTGGAACAAGACTTCCTCGAGTGTTTCACAGGTGAAAATGCACTTCAAGCATTTAAAACTTTAAACTTTAGAGCTTCTCAAACTTTGGTGTTAACTGTGTGTGTTATTGTGTGTGCAGCCATCGTGCACGGCGACAGCTTTGAGGAGGTGTACCACCTGGTCAAAGCCGTCATCGAGGAGCAGAGCGGCCCTTACATCTGGGTTCCTGCCCGCGACAGACTCTGATTGGCCAGTGCCAGCCATGGGCGTCATCTTCACGGACACCGCCACCACCCCTCACACCCTCCTCCTCCTGTTAGCGGCGTGACCTGATGGAGAGCGGACTTTTGTCTTTTTACTTTTTCTACAGAAGGATGACAAACGAGCACACTGATTGGATTGGATGCTGTAGCTGTGGCAACCAGGAGATGTGTTTTTTTAAGAAGAGGGGACCTGTCTGTCTCATCATCTGTCAGAGGAAAAGATGGAGAGAGGATCGATTGATTTTGTGTGGATTCAATAATCCTGTATTATCAGTAATGAATGAATCGGACTGTAGAGTTAAGTTGGTGTTGAAGTATTTATATTATCCTATTTATTTATTGATTTATCTATTTATTTATTGATTTATGTGATGTGAAAGTGGTGTGTGCGTGTGCATTTGTGTGTATGTGTGTGTGCGTGTGTGTAGTGTACATAAAGACTTGTGTGACTGTAAATAAAACGATGGGGCTCAAACACACAGTCTATTCAGGGCTTAAAGTATCGAACACTAGACTACAACACCCATGATCCCTCTCTGCTGGACTTCATCTCCCACAACCCCCTTCTTCTGGGCTACAACACCCTATTACCCCCCACTACCTGGACTACAATATTCACAACCCCCCTCTGTCTGGACTACAACACCCTTAATCCTGTTGTAATGGACTAAAATTGAACACTTCAGTTGGACTACAACAACCACAATCCCTCTGCTGGATTCATCTTCCACAATCTTCTTCTGCTGGACTACATCACCCTATATCACCATCTGCCTGAACCGAAAGACCCACAATCCCTTTTTGACTACCACACCCTAAAGCCTGATTCATACTTCGTCGAGTCTATGGTGTAAGCTGCGCACATAACCACGCATTTATACTTGTGCATTGGTGTCTGCGTTGTTCTGCAATCTGCAATTGGCGGTAGCGTTATAGTGTCGACTGTATTGACTTTGCCAGCTGAGCAAGCTAACTTCCTGTAAGCCAGGTAACATCGTAATCGTGCATCAATTCTAGATTTTATCAACCAATCCGCAACCAACCAATCACAATTCTTGTGGTCATGTAGTTAAATTTTTGGGGAGGTGCACGTCAAGCTACGGCGTAGGGTACTACATAATGCCCTCAAGCACACAGGAAGTTCCCCGTGCTTTTAAGTAAATTTTACTCGCTGCCAAACCAGCGGCTGTAACACGGTGTATCAATATAGTATTTGACCGTCAAGACCCAAGCGAAAGGACTCGTTTAACTATCAGAATGTGATCGATTCTGTCATTAACATTTGAAAAGGCTATACCGGCCACACGTATACGTACGTACTTTTATCCACATTCACGTTAGCGGAGGGCTAAACTAGACGTTAGCTTGCTTGGTCGACAAAAGTCAACCCAGTCAACGCTGTAGCGCTACCGCCAGCTAGCGTTTGGGGGTGTAATTACAGAATGACAAAGACACCGACGCATGAGTATAAATGCATGGCTATGGCATAGCTACGCACATAGAACCTACGCAGAAGTATAAGCAAAGCTTAAATCCCCTTTTGTCTGGACTACACTACCGATGTTCCCTCTGCTGGACTACAACACCCCAAATCCCCCTTCTGGAATACAACACCCTTCTACTGGATTACACTCACAATCCACATCTTCCAGGACTACAATGAACATCCCTGGTTGTACTACAACTCCCTAAATTCTCCTCATCTGGACTACAACAACCACAGTCCCTCAGCTGCACTACAACACCCTTATTCCCCTTCAACTGGGATACAACACTCTAAATCCCATTATAACTACAATACCCTAAACCCCCCATCTGGACCACCACCTACCGACAATCCCTCTGCTGGACTATAACAACCTTATTCCCCTTCCCCGGACTATAGCACCCTAAACCTTTCTCATCTGGACAACACCCTAAATCCCCTTCTACTGGACTATAACTGAACCCTTTTGATCTGGACTACAACAACAACAATCCCTCTGCACCATACTCCCCCTTCTTTTGTAACGGACAGTTAGGACCGTTTTTAATGATCACTGTCTCTCTCTGGTTGCTTGGCAACAAGGAGGTATACCTGAAACTGAACACTTCCATTTTTAAGCAAAAGACTATGGACTACATTACCCACGGTTCCCAGCTCCAGCAAAAGGATTACACCACCAACAATCTACAGCACAGATGGACTATGTTACACATAGGTCCCAGCTAACGATCCTCTAACCACAATCCCTGGCTGTGGGTCTATGCTGCCCAAAATCCTGCTGGATTCTGGACTACAGTACCCATGATTCCCTGCTCCTGAACCGGAACCAGAGACAACGTTCAGTATCACTTTGGGGATAGAGTTAAAGCTTCAGGCTCACAAAACACACCTGGACAGCGTGGGGGTGAGGCACGTACTGCCCTGACTCCATTACCCACAGTTCTTTGGGAGGTCCAAAATGTCGTCCTCCATCTGTGACATCATCTGTGAGAGCGAGTGGTGTGTAACCATGGCAACTGGGACTGATGGTGGATCCAACATGGCTGCTGCTGCTCCCAGAATGGTTTCTGATGGTTCCAGTGGGGATTTTTTTAGACTGAATATCAGGGTCATGTGAATAATTATAATAATTATTATCATAAAAATAATCAGAATTATTGATGATGTAATATCATCTCACATACACACATACAAACACACACACACACACACACACACACAGCGGGGTTACCCGAGGTCGTCTTTTCTTTCTGAGCACTGACAGAAACACTCTTTATAAAAGATATAAAATCATATCTGAATATTTATCAGCCTGTCACACACACACAAAAAAACACACACACAGAGAAACACACACAGAAATACACACACGTAGAGAAACACAAAAACACACACAGACACACACACACACACTTACACCAGTATAAAGGAGGCTGTTGGATGGATGACCGGCTTGTTGTTAAATGAAATAATTAGTTATTAATGAAATTCAACTATTGAAATATTGAAATAAATTCCTTATAAAACCTGAAGGCCTCGTCTCAGATTCATTTATTTACAACTCAAACTGCACATACTCTGACGACATGAACATCAACATACAAGGTGATCTTAAATGTTGGAGACAGGAGGTTCTCCACCTCACCTCCATTCACTCCCAGCCTCCATTTGCTGTGTAGTCTTGCATGTCGGAGCAAATGATGTGGCTATTTTTGTTTCAGGCCTTTTAGTCAAGTCAAAACACAAAATGAGTTATGACTCTTTTCAAAGCATTGTTCTAAGTCTTTCTAATTCAATCTGGAAAACTATGCAGCAGATTCTATTGATTATAGTGTACCGTGCTCCCGGTTCATACCCTTGACCTAGTATTAACATATGGAATTGAAATTGAAGAATTGATGGTCCTTCGTTATTTTCTGAGTTCTAATTATTTGACTTTAAGCCACCAAGCAAATACTTCTAGATCTCTATCTGATCGTGCTGTGGCGAAGTTTAAAGATTCAATTGCATCAGTGTGTAATTCAATTCTGTTTCAAAATACAGGACTGCTCCGAATGACACTTGACACTGTTGCTCCTTTGAGAGCATCATGGAAACTTGAGAAGAAATGGTGTCTCACTCATCAAGAAGAATCTTGTTTAATGTGGCAGGAAATGTATAGGAAGGCCCTATGTAGCACCAGAACAGCTTATTACTCCGAATTAATCGAGGAATGTCAGAACAATCCCAGGTTCCTCTTCAATAGTCTAGCCAGAGTGACGGGAAGCCTCCGATCTACTGAACCGCGTGTCCCTCTTGATCTCAATAGTGACGTTTTCATGAACTACTTTAACAACAAAATTCTAATTATCAGAGATAAAATTAATCACCTCCTCCGAGATCCTTGAAAAAGCAGTGGCAAATCATCTTTGTGAATTTTTGACAGCACTGGTAAAATGATTTCTAATGATCTTTTAACTGCATTGGCTAAGGGACTAGTCCATGTGTTGGTCTTGTTAGATCTAAGTGTGGCATTTGATACAAATGATCACCATATTTTATTACAGAGACTTGAACATTTAATTGCTATAAAAGGAACTGCTTTAAGCTGGTTTGAATATTACTTATCAGATCACACCCAGTCACATGTAAATGCCGAATCCTCTCAGAGCAAAGTTACCTATGGAGTTCCGCAAGGTTCAGTCCTTGGTCATATTTTATTCACCTTATATATGCTTCCGCTGGGTAATATCATTAGGAACCACAGTATAAAATTTCTTTGCTATGCAGATGATACCTTTCTATCAGTGAGTAATCAGAATCGGATTTATTGCAAGGTTGTTTTTACACATACAAGGAATTTGTTTTGATGACTAGGTAAACATAAACCTATAGAAAGGTTAAGATATATAAGATTAAAACAAAAAGTAAAAAATATTTCACTTTATGTGTAATGAATCTAGAATATATGAAAGTCTCACTTTTTGACATAAATTACAGAACAAATGAACTTTCTCACAATATTCTTTCTGAGATGCACCTGTATGTGTGTCACAGTGTGCATGTGTCTCAGTGTGTATATGTGTGTGTGTTGTGTATGCTCCACACATCTCCGGTCAGGGCGTTGGCGGCTCCCTGCAGCGTCCAGGTAAAGAAAGCGAGCTGCCGTCTGAAGCGTTTCTCGTCGAAGCGTTCAGGGTCGGAGGTCAGCAAGGCCAGGTGCTCAGTAAGTGCTGTCAGAGTGTGGTCACCGCGGCCGTGGATCACGTGACGGAACGGCGTCTCCACCACTGACACGTACTGAGACAGGAAGTAGTATTCCACCTGGAGGACAGACAGAGGAAATTATTTTATTATTCTGTTAAACTCTATAGACCAGGGGCACCAGTTTGCTACGTTTCCGGTTTGAATGACGTTTCCTTGAAAGCATGGAGCAGGCATTGAGGTCTAACCATTGTCTTGGTGTCAGAGGTGTGACAAGAATGTAAAAACAGCCATATTTAAAGGCTTGATTTGAGCGTTTCAGAGTTGAGAGGTATCAGTAATCACTTGCAGTAATTGTGTGAGAGGTGAGAGGTGTCAGCAGCAGTTTTAGCAGTATTTGTACCCTCATGACGCATGCGTTTCAGAGGTGAGAGGTATCAGCGGCAGCATTTGCAGTATTTGTACCCTCATGATGCGAGTGTTGTAGAAGCGAGCAGTCGTCGGGTCATGCATGTCGCTGTAGTCGATGGCTCTCTGCAGCGTCTCGGCTGCTCGGCTGTAATCTCCTCTGGCACTGAAAACCCACTGAGGAGACAAACCTCTGGACTGAAGACATAAATAGAGAGACAGAAAGCTCTTTGAACTCCAACATATTCTGTCATCTGCTTGTTGAGCTGGAGTTTTGTTACTTAAAAACACATGAGTACAAAAACTTTCAAAACAAAAGACAGATGCTTCTTTTATTGACAGTGTTAACTTATAGTTACCAGCCAGCTTGCTAACTGGTAGTTTTTGGCGAGGTACCTTTGCATGTTGCACTGCATGTTAGCTAAGTACCAAAAATCCTGCTAAAGAAAACTGAATCTACTGTAGCCCAGTGGAAAATGTCATGTTCACACTAAAGTTACTAGTGGGCACTGCGCCCTTTCAGGTATCCCCAAATTGCGCTGCTCCAGAGAAAGTGAAAGCAGGAAGTAAGCAAAGCAATACAGGAAGGGAAGAGCCTCCCGTTTTGATTTACTCAGTCATGCCTCGTGGGTGTTTCCAGCTTCCAAAATCGGTATATGTTTAAGATGTTACTTCTGTACACAATTATGGAATCTTGTGCACTAACATGAGTTTATACAGGTGCAAAATGTAACGTTCTTTTGCTGATGGTGATTCAGTGGTCCGATGTTTGCAGATGGTGTCAGCTGTTCAGAATAATTCGTTGTGTACAGTACCAGCATTATTGTTTGTTTTTATTGTTTAGTGCAGTATGGAGTTGATGGCTGCCAGCCACTATACGTGCAAACGAGTTATTACCAAGGCAAACTGTAGTCAGTACATGTTGTTATACTGCAACTTTTTGTTGATATTAATGTACCAAATGTTCCATGTTCTGAAACTGATAGTATGTGATTTTGTTAGGAGAGTTACCACTACAGTTATTTATGCACTGAGATTTATGTACTAAATGGAGTTACTAATTTAGCACAGTTTGTATGGACATTTTAAGTTAACCTAAGGTACAAGCCACTGTATTGCTCATTTTGGGTTGTGAGTTGATAAAGTGGTAAATTTGATTGTATTGGAGAATCATTGTGAAATATAAATCAGTTGAATCTTCCAAATCCCTTTAATACCCCTCTCCCATTTGGAGAGTGGTCGAGAAATAAAAAACCCCGAATGTAGTTTGTGTCCAGTGTCATTTCAATCTCACCCGGCAGCACTAGTTTGCAAAATGTTTGGTTCTAGAGACCTGGTGACGTAGTGACTGCTCATAGGGCTAGTTGGTAAACCTATGTAGTAGAAGAACTAACTGCTAGCATGCTAGCCAACTGGCTGGGCACTAGCCAGTCTGAAACAGGCCTCATCTCAGATAATGATGAAACCCAGTATGGACGTGGACCAAGCTGTCACTTGGTGTTCAAACAATGACCTCCAGCTCAACACAGCCAAAACCCAGGAACTCATTATTGACTTTAGACGTAGGCCATTTCCCAAAACACCCATACAAATAAACAGCAACCAAATCACCATCACTGACTCCTTTAAATTCCTAGGAACACAAATTAGCAATAACTTGAAGTAGACAACTAACACTGAACACAAGAGCTGAACAAAGATTTTACTTCCTCAGGCAGCTCAAAAAATACCGGATGTACAGGTGAGGTGAGAGAGCGTACCTGCAGCTCAGCAGAGTGCTTGTTGAGCTGGGCGCTGAACTGCAGCACTGTCTGGGCGTAGGAAGTGATGCGGAGCGGAAGGATGTGGTCGTGGGCCAATCTCAGCACCATCTCCCCCACCAGCTCCCCCAGGCTCCGCCCTGCGATCCCCAGACGACCCCCCAGCACTTCCTGTAGCCGGGAGGCGCTGTCCAATGGCGTGTTGACAAACGGGTAAGCTCGCTCCTGAACGGACAGACAGATCTGATGACATCAACCTGAAGCAAGCACACCTGTACACCTGTACACATCACATGGCCTCATGAGACCTGCACACTGTGGAACAACTCGACACACAGATGGAAAAGATACCTAGCATAGCACAGCAGTGTCGTGTTGTCAGTTATTAAAAGTTCACCTCGCTGAATCTGAGCTCCACAGCTGGAACTCCTGCGAACGCTGTGAAACTGTACGCTCCGCTGTTCAGATACAACGGCTTCATTCTGTGGAGAGGAAACTTTAGTTTAGGCAGGTCTTCTTCTTCTCTTTCTTTACTGCAGCATTTAGAGCATGATTTAGTTTGTGTGTGTTTACTGCCTCACATCCTCCAGCTGCCGCCCTCTCTTTCAGCCTGGCTGTAGATGCTCTGACCTGCATGTTTAGGATGCTCCACCTGCCTCATGCACACACAAGCATGAAAACATAAACACTTTATGTTGCTTTGGCTGATGTCGACAAACATGATGAGATATGACAAAATGGTAACATGACATGAAGGCAAAGCAACACTGAAGTAAATAAATCCACACTTCATCCCTCAGGTTCACCTGTCTGATGGCAGCGTCCAGCAGGTCGACCAGCAGAGGACTGATGTAGGCCGACAGGACATCATCACCTGCAGACAGACAGAGAGCGGTCGTTATTGGCTGGCACATTAAAGAAGGTCTCCTGTGATTGGCTGAGAGATGTGTTACCCATGATAGCCTGGTCCAGACTGAAGTAGGCTACAGCTTTCAGGTGGAGCATGGACAGGTAACCCTGGCAAACAGAGGTCATAGGTTATGGCAACCACAGGTCAGAGTTGAGGTGGCTGAAATGTTTCTTCTTCCTTCCTGTGGTGTGGAACGTGTTTCTGATTGGACCAACCTCGAGCCATTCAGTGGCTCCAACGTTCCCGAAATCTCCAGCATCCCAGCTGACAAACAGCAAACTGCGTCTGGGACTGAAACCTGCACAGACGAGCAGAAAGCCAGTTGCCGTGATTAAAGCCACAGTTAGAGGGCGGTGTGCTATCAGCTTACACAGATATTCACCACTTCACCAGAGACCCAGTCCTTTATCATGCTAAGAGACTCTGGACACCTGACTCCTGTATCCATCCCTGTAATCTCTCACAGCCTTCCACTAACCAGTTCACTAGTTGGTGACAACAGCAACAGCCTAGTGACATCCAAGCCACTACCCAGAACACCCTACCATCCACCCATCCACCCAGAACACCCTACCATCCACCCAGAACACCCTATCATCCACCCAGAACACCCTACCATCCAGCCAGAACACCCCACCATCCACCCATCCACCCAGAACACCCTATCATCCACCCAGAACACCCTATCATCCACCCAGAACACCCTACCATCCACCCAGAACACCCTATCATCCACCCAGAACACCCTACCATCCAGCCAGAACACCCCACCATCCACCCAGTGCCATAGCATCTATCCATCCATCTTCAACCGCTTATTCGAGGTCAGGTTGAGGGGGTAGCAGCTCCAGCAAAAGATCCCAAACCTCCCTTTCGAGCCACATTAGCCAGCTTTGAAATGGGGATCCCTAGGTGTTCCCAGGCCAGTATGAAGATAAAATCTCTCCACTTAGTCCTAGGTCTTTCAGCTGGACGTGCCTGGAACGCCTACCTGGAGGCGCCTAGGGTCCATCCTTACGAGATGCACAAACCATCTGAATTGGCTCCTTCCAATGCAAAGGAGCAGCAACTATATTGAGTTCCTCACAGTTGCCTAAGCTTTTCACCTTATCACTAAGAGAGAAAACCCATTTCTGCCGCTTGTACCAGTGATCTAGTTCCTTCAGTCATGAACCACCCTTTGTGACAACATCAACCTACCAACTACATAGTAACCACCTGGCAACACATTGGCAATGCCCTCCAAACCAGCAACACCCTATCAACAGCAAAAGACAGTAAGCGCACCTGTCTCCAGGTGAGTCTTACCGTTCTTCACCATAGCAGAGAACGTTCGAGCTAGCTCCAGGAGGATCGCTGTTCCAACTCCAGACTTCACGGCTCCTGGACCCAGCGAGTCCCTCTGAGCTCCCAGGATGATGTACTGGTCTGACAGAGAGATAAGTTTATTAAGATCCCTTCATGAAAAATGTGAACCTGTCTGTCAGTCCGGTGGTACCTGGCTCGACGCGGCCCTCCAGAGAGGAGAAGATGTTGTTGAGCAGGACAGGCGTCATGGCGTTGTGCACCGACATCTTGACTCTGCGTCCAGAGCTGAACTCTGGACCAACCACGCAGCTCACATACGGCAGCCGACCCCGCCATGACGGAGGGCAGGATGGACCTGACAGCTGGCTGAAACACAGAAACGGAGTGAGGTCACAAGAACACCTGGGCAGGTAACCTGAGGCGGTGTGGACTCACCTGAGCAGCTTGGAGGCTACAGTGGCACTGATTGGCAAGGCTGGGATGAGTGGCAGGCCGGAGGACTGGATGGCTGGGAACTGAGTGTGATTGAAGGAGGGAAAGCCGGGGGTGAAGGGGTCACCTGACCCCAGGTGGACCTGTGATTGGATGACACAGAGGGAGATTCTGATTGGTCCGGAGCAGCGAGACATGGAACATGTGTGTGTTTGTATGTGTGTGTGTTACATGTTCAGACACGGCAGTGTGTGTGTTCAGTCCAAGGCGTCGGGGGTCCTGCGGCAGGTCGGCGGGGTCGGGGTAGATCAAGGCCCCGCCCGCCCCATTCCTTTCAGCCAACCTGACCTTCTCTGCAAAACTGACCCCACCCCCGACACGCATCACCACCACGGAGTCAACCACAGACACGCCCGCACTCTTCAGCCAATTAAAATCCTCTGGACGGCCATAGTTGGCATAGACCACGCCCCCCTGCAGAGAGAAAGAGAGACAGGTAAAGATAACAGGGGTTGTGGTTACCATGGTGACAAACACATCCTGTCTCTGCCTCACCGTGGTACTTCCTGTGGCGCTGTATGGACAGTAGTCAGACGGGTTCAGGGGAATCTGTTCTGAGACCATTCCTGCAGAGTCCAGCAGCCACAGAGAGCTCCTCTGAGACCTGCACCCAAACAAACACCTGTTTTCTCCACCAGTTCTCTCCGACCTCTGACGTGACCTTTGCTGCACCTACCTCTCGGGGAACTGCAGCGTGGCGTACAGCGACTCGGTCCAGGTGTGATCCATCTGCAGCTGTCTGAGGCGACGCAGGATCTCTGAGGCCAGAGAGGTTCCCTCTGAGGAACCTGGAGGGTGACTCGCTCTGCTGACCCGACTGATGGAAACAGAAACACTCAACAACCTGTTCTGATTTCTGGACTTCGGCCCACATGACCATGGTACCAAAATCTATCTAGTACAGAATAGAAATGATGGTGAGGAAGGAACATATGACCCAGTGCAGCAGAAAGGCTCACTGGTGGGTTTTCTGGTTCAGAGAGGAGACAGGAAGTGTAGAAGACGAACCAGTCAGAGGTCTTCAGTGATCAATAGAAACATGAATCATGTAAACGGTGTACCACCTGACTGTGTTGTGGATATCTTCATCCTGCAGCAGCCTCCTCATCATCACTCTCAGCTCTCCCAAGTAAAGCCCCGCCCCTCCTTCAGCAGGTGGTTTAGCCCCGCCCCCTTGCTGCTCATCCTCCTGCCCCCCCACCTGGGAGCAGTGGTAGCACCCACCAAACACTGCATAGGCCAATAGGAACGCTAAGAAAGAGAGACAGGCCACACCCACTTTAATCACACGATCAAACTGACCAATGAAAGGTGTGTGTGTGTGTGTGTGTACCTGTGGTGAAGATGACGACCCCACACACACCCAGGAACACGCCGGCTCTCCTGTAACCATGGCGATGGCGCAGCACCAATGCTGTGATGTCACTGCTAGGCCCCGCCTCCACCTCCTCCTCAGCCTCCGTCACAAACCTCATCTCCACCCTCGGAGCTCCTCCCACCTCATCTTCAGCCACGCCTACTGAGGAAGACTGGAGACAGAGAGAGAAGCGTCACCATGGTTACAGGTAAGAGAGGGGAGGAGCTTGTATACCTGGATGTCTCACCTGCGTCAGACGAGTCCTGATGGCGTCCATGACGACCTGCAGGGCAGACGGACAGTTAGACAGTTAATTTTACAAAGTAAATAATGACGTGAAAGACGTGTAAAACTTTGCATTAATACTGATAACTGTATTAATGCAAAGTTTTACAGCTCCTGCAGTCAATAATCTCTCTTATTTACCTGTCTGATGTTAATAAGAAGCTTTTTACATTCAGTAACGTCGTCTGTCAGTAAAGTTCTCTGAGAGTCTGCTGAGAGACTAAAAACCAACCCGTTCTCACTCTCAAGTCGTCACATGGACATGAATAATTGGCGTCAGTTTGTGACGCACTGGGGATCCCTATAGCGTCATAGTTCAACACAGTGGGGGAAGCCCTGTAGTGTAGGTTTTTGGCGGTAAAGGTAGGTATATGATATTTGTAGAAAATACTGAGTAAGGATTTTAATTTAGGCAAGTTACATAAATTGACGTAAGTGACATGTAGTTATTTTAACCCAAACCATGATCTTTTCCTAACCTTAACCAAGAAGTTTTGTTGCCTAAACCCAACCAAGTACTTTTTCTGTGTGTAAACCTAACCTAACTAGCCTAACTGCAACATTTTAATAACGTTTCAAAATGGCAATGTTTCAAAATGCTAGGTTTTTTTTTGAAAGTCTAACTGGACGTTGCATATTTATTGTTGCTAACTTTACCAGAAGTTGTATATTTGTTAACCGCAGAGCCCTAAATGTAAATATGTCAAAAAGGTCAAAAGGGGGTACCCAGGTTGTTTAAAGGTGACGCCAAAGGGCCTTGACTAAGTGTCAATATGTGACAAGCTGGGAGGATGAACATGCAGTATACTCACAGATATAATAAGCTAAGCTAACGTAACTTCATCAGGTGCTGTTGGTGTAACGCTAATGTTACTTTCAGTCAGCCAGTTGTTGTCTGAAGGAATGAGTCAGTTCATTAATTAACTTTGATTAATCAAACATCTGAATCATCCTCCAGATGTTTTCAAACATCAACACGTTTAGCTTCTCTTCACAGCACAGTTAGCTGTGCTAATGCTAATGTTAGGTGAGTAGAGCTTAGAATGAGAACTGGATTTACTGTTTATTACAGCAGTCACCTGCAACCATGGCAACGGTATATATCACAGCTGTAGCCTCAAAATAACAACATAAAAACTGAGACTGTAATAACAAAATGTTTGTTTTTGTCAAATGAAACTTACAGAAACTAATTAAAGAGGTGGTATTATGCTTTTTGGCCATTTCTCTCTCCTTTATTGAGTTATATACCTTTTTGTGCATGTAATAGGTTTGCAAAGTGAAAATAACCAAAAGTCCAGCCCAAAGGGAGTTCCCATCTCCCACAGAAAACTCCGGCTACTTCAACACACCTTCAAAAACAGAGGTGGGAAAACGGTGAGCTGCAGCACACAGCTCTCCTCTCCCTTCCAAACACTAGCTACCCTCCAGGCAGTCAGTGGACATAAAGTTGTTCCTGTGATGTAGAGACAGAGCTCAGTTAAAACTTTATGGATACAGATTAATAACTCACCACTCTGAAACTCTCGCTCCAGCATCTCGCTGACCCGCCCTTCTCTGCATCTGATTGGCTAGTAGTCCTTAACTAGAAACTGCGCATGTGCAACTCCCAACAAAGATCATTTAGAGACAAGATGTATCACTCCATAGCTAAAACAAAGCCTTCAACACACGGTTAAAAGAGGAGCTGCAGCAATGTGCAGTATGACAAAAAATATAACCATGTAAACCTTTTCTGGTACAACCTCTAAATAAGATTATGAAACAGAAAATGAGCAGAATACCACCTCTTTAACTTTTCTTCAAAACTGATTTTTCCTATTTTCAGCCTGTGTTTTCCTTTAATAGCTAAATTCTTCTGTATTCATACTGAACTCATATCAGTTTACCACATTGTGTAAATGTACTTCACTGTTCAGATACCGAAAACACATGAACGGTTTCTACAGGCAGTATCATTTTTATTTCACATCTCACGATGTCAATTCAATATTTAACAGTGTAAGTTATGATTCATGCCGTTGTGTAGAAATGATTTATTAACCCAGATGTTTCAGACAAAATGTAAATGATGTGAACAAACTACACATGAGGCTGGATGGAAATGACAGAGCTGCAGCATGCAGGCGTCAGACTCCATCAGAGACTGATGAGGCCTCAGTTTATTCAGCTCGCTGTGATTGGCTCCTCAGAGGGGTCAGAGGTCGGCGTGCTGTTTGTGTGGTTAACTTTATCAACAGTAAGTAAACACACACTGACGCTGCCTGCTGGAACCACCTTTCCCCTGCATCAGAGTCTGACCTGTCAGCTGAAGCTCCTCATTCTGATTAAGGTGTTGGATTTAAGGTGGTATTTATCAGGTGCAGCAGTCTCTGAGGATTACAACCTTAAATCTCATGTTTTGTAACAGCTGTTTGCTCTTAAAGAACGTCTCCAACACGTCAACATGACGGACAAAAAGTCTTTCAGAGGCTGAAGAGTTAACAGAACTCATGAAGAAGTACCACAGGAAGCTGGACTGGATCAATCAGCTGATCAATAACGAAAACAATCCACTGACCTTGTTTATTCCTCCTGTTTGTCTTCTCTCTCTTCGTTCATCCGTCTGTTTCTGTTAGTCAGTTTGTTCTGTGTCGACTCTGGAGTCCAAACTGCCCCCCCCACACACACACATACGCACTGACCAATCAGGTACAAGCGAGCACACGTCCCTGCTGGAGAACATGAACGCTGTATTTCTGCTTGTATAAAATCATGAATCTGTTCCTCCAGCCGGACTTCATGATCACATCGTCTCACCTGAACCTTAATCAGACAGAAAGATGGCTGCTCACTGGCTGCTACAAAGCCAGTTCACCATCCCCAGGGTATCTGTCTGTTATCAGCTTCACTAACAGCCAATCATGCTCAGCGGTCACATGACGCTGGTTATCAACTTGGTAAGTCAACACAGGGTTTCCCAATCTAGCCATGAGCTGAGGCCAACCTTTATAAACATTTCTGGGAGCATATCAAAGCACTTTTATTTGAATCACTTAAAGAAGCTTTAAACAACCGCTCACTTCCACAGATGCTGAGGCAAGGTGTAATTATTCTTGTTCCAAAACCAAACAAAGATCCCAAAATCTTGGACAACTGGAGACAGTAACACTATTAAACAATGATTATAATTTGCTAACACACATATTTTCAAATCGTCTTCTAAAAGGTCTTCCTCAAATAATAAGTGACACTCCATCAGGATTTATGAGAGGTGGATCGGTACACAATAATGTTCGCCTTGTCCTTGATTTACTTTAATATAATGAGCATATAAAGGACGACGGCTTTATTCTCTTTTTGGATTTCTAGAAAGCGTTTGACACGACAGAACACCCCTTTATTTTTAAGCAGTATACCCAAACACTTGGATAATAGAGATCTTTCTCTGCCGCATCTATAAAACCAAAATGGAAAGCCTTTCCAGATGTAAAATACCCAGCCTGCTCTCTGTCTGTCCCCAACAAAGCTGCCAATACCATCAATACATTAAACTTTGCTTACATCTGGAAATGAAAACCCTGATATCTGAAAATAGCGACTGAAGAGTATGAAGATGGTGGGCTACCAGCTACAGACTTTGATTGTATAAATGGAACCTTAAAGACTAAATGGTTCAGATGCTTTCTAGCAAACAGTGGAAGCTTCTGGTACTGTGTCTCCAGGGAAGTGTTTGAAATAATTACAGGTATTTATTTACTTTTACGCTGTGATTTTGATGTTCCAAAACTTTCTATGAAACTGTCTGCGTTTCATTCACAAGTTCTGTTATATTGGAAACTACTGTACAAACACAGTTTTACTCCCATTTCATTCTCTTTAGAAATAGAAGATTGAATTGAATTGAAGATTGAAGATTTTGGTACAAAATTTCCAGTGCAATCGTAAACAGTATGATATGGTTACCCAAAGTGTCCCACCTGCCTTCCTTTTGATGGCAAAAAATGAACTACCTCATATGTTCAACCCTCCTCTTCTTCCTTTGGTGATGACTGCTGGTCACCAGTTCTGTAGTAAGACTTTGTAAAACAAAGTGTTCTGCGGAAACGCTGCTTCATTCTTCTCTGGAGAAACTATGCACAGATTTCTTAAAGTTCCATTTTTATCACCAAAAGCTGAAGAGCTTCACTTACACACTATTTAATGACAAATATATTCTTCAGGAGGACTCCTCTCATGTCTCATTACAGACATTAACGTTGCCCGACTGGCTTCAGCAGCGCGAGTCTAACGTTACATTTTCCAATAGGGCAAATAAATAGAAAAATCAAGTGCCATCCAGGATTGAGAGCTTGAATGGGGCGCTTCACAGTGTGCGAACGGGCATACCAATGGAGCTTTGCAGGCCGACTAAGACGTAAGGTCCTCGGAAACGAGGAAGAAGAGGTGGTCTACGTCGGAGACTGAAGGCTCTTCGGCTTGACAATCGCTGCAAACTACCGCCACTTCCTTCGGTCCTCCTGTCAAACGTACAGTCTTTCAGACACAAATAGATGAGCTGGAAACATTAAACCAAGTTTAAACGGGAAGTAAAAGACACTTGTCTCCTTACCTTCACCGAAACATGGCTCGGTGATGCAGACTCGGACCTGAACTTAACTGGGTTTGGAAGCCCAATGCGAATGGACCGGTCACCGGACATCACCGGCAAAAACCGAGGAGGAGGCGTGTGCTTCTACGTGAACGAAAGGTACTGCAACACTGTTGTGATCAGAGAGAAGATATGTACCACAGATGTGGAATTATTGTCTAATTCTCTCAGCCCCTCGTGAATTTCAACAGCTCTTTTTCACATTAGTGTACATTCACCCATGATCCAACGCCACAGCTGCTGCCCAGCTGATCGCTGACATCACGCATAAACTGCCCAGAAGCACCCAAGTTTATCCTTGGAGATTATAATCATTGACATCTAAAAAAGACTTTGAGGATGTGTGAACAGTATGTGACTTGTTCTACCACACAGAAGAACACCATGCTAGATTTATGCTATGGCTCAGTAAGCGGGGCTTATAAATCCCTGCCTATGCACCTTTTAGTGCTTCTTACACCAGCAGTGTCTATCTCATGCCCGCTTCTTACCTCAGCAGTGTCTATCTCATGCCCGCTTCTTACCTCAGCAGTGTCTATCTCATGCCCGCTTCTTACCACAGCAGTGTCTATCTCATGCCCGCTTCTTACCTCAGCAGTGTCTATCTCATGCCCGCTTCTTACCTCAGCAGTGTCTATCTCATATCTGCTTCTTACCTCAGCAGTGTCTATCTCATGTCTGCTTCTTACCACAGCAGTGTCTATCTCATGTCTGCTTCTTACCTCAGCAGTGTCTATCTCATGTCTGCTTCTTACCTCAGCAGTGTCTATCTCATGTCTGCTTCTTACCACAGCAGTGTCTATCTCATGTCTGCTTCTTACCTCAGCAGTGTCTATCTCATGCCTGCTTCTTACCACAGCAGTGTCTATCTCATGTCTGCTTCTTACCTCAGCAGTGTCTATCTCATGCCTGCTTCTTACCTCAGCAGTGTCTATCTCATGTCTGCTTCTTACCTCAGCAGTGTCTATCTCATACCTGCTTCTTACCTCAGCAATGTCTATCTCATGTCTGCTTCTTACCTCAGCAGTGTCTATCTCATGTCTGCTTCTTACCTCAGCAGTGTCTATCTCATGCCTACTTCTTACCACAGCAGTGTCAATCTCATACCTGCTTCTTACCTCAGCAATGTCTATCTCATGTCTGCTTCTTACCTCAGCAGTGTCTATCTCATGTCTGCTTCTTACCTCAGCAGTGTCTATCTCATGCCCGCTTCTTACCACAGGAGTGTCTATCTCATACCTGCTTCTTACCACAGCAGTGTCTATCTCATGCCTGTGTCTATCTCATGCCTGCTTCTTACCTCAGCAGTGTCTATCTCATGCCTGTGTCTATCTCATGCCTTGTCTATCTCATGCCTGCTTCTTACCTCAGCAGTGTCTATCTCATGCCTGTGTCTATCTCATGCCTGCTTCTTACCTCAGCAGTGTCTATCTCATGCCTGTGTCTATCTCATGCCTGCTTCTTACCTCAGCAGTGTCTATCTCATGCCTGCTTCTTACCTCAGCAGTGTCTATCTCATGCCTGCTTCTTACCTCAGCAGTGTCTATCTCATGTCTGCTTCTTACCTCAGCAGTGTCTATCTCATGCCTGCTTCTTACCTCAGCAGTGTCTATCTCATGCCTGCTTCTTACCTCAGCAGTGTCTATCTCATGCCAGATTCTTACCACAGCAGTGTCTATCTCATGCCTGATTCTTACCTCAGCAGTGTCTATCTCATGCCTGCTTCTTACCTCAGCAGTGTCTATCTCATGCCTGTGTCTATCTCATGCCTGCTTCTTACCTCAGCAGTGTCTATCTCATGCCCGCTTCTTACCTCAGCAGTGTCTATCTCATGTCTGCTTCTTACCTCAGCAGTGTCTATCTCATGCCTACTTCTTACCTCAGCAGTGTCTATCTCATGTCTGCTTCTTACCTCAGCAGTGTCTATCTCATGTCTGCTTCTTACCTCAGCAGTGTCTATCTCATGCCTGCTTCTTACCACAGCAGTGTCTATCTCATGCCTGCTTCTTACCTCAGCAGTGTCTATCTCATGCCAGATTCTTACCACAGCAGTGTCTATCTCATGCCTGATTCTTACCTCAGCAGTGTCTATCTCATGCCTGCTTCTTACCTCAGCAGTGTCTATCTCATGCCTGTGTCTATCTCATGCCTGCTTCTTACCTCAGCAGTGTCTATCTCATGCCCGCTTCTTACCTCAGCAGTGTCTATCTCATGTCTGCTTCTTACCTCAGCAGTGTCTATCTCATGCCTACTTCTTACCTCAGCAGTGTCTATCTCATGTCTGCTTCTTACCTCAGCAGTGTCTATCTCATGTCTGCTTCTTACCTCAGCAGTGTCTATCTCATGCCTGCTTCTTACCACAGCAGTGTCTATCTCATGCCTGCTTCTTACCTCAGCAGTGTCTATCTCATGCCTGCTTCTTACCTCAGCAGTGTCTATCTCATGTCTGCTTCTTACCTCAGCAGTGTCTATCTCATGCCTACTTCTTACCTCAGCAGTGTCTATCTCATGTCTGCTTCTTACCTCAGCAGTGTCTATCTCATGTCTGCTTCTTACCTCAGCAGTGTCTATCTCATGCCTGCTTCTTACCTCAGCAGTGTCTATCTCATGTCTGCTTCTTACCTCAGCAGTGTCTATCTCATGCCTGCTTCTTACCTCAGCAGTGTCTATCTCATGCCTGCTTCTTACCTCAGCAGTGTCTATCTCATACCTGCTTCTTACCTCAGCAGTGTCTATCTCATACCTGCTTCTTACCTCAGCAGTGTCTATCTCATACCTGCTTCTTACCTCAGCAGTGTCTATCTCATGTCTGCTTCTTACCTCAGCAGTGTCTATCTCATGCCTGCTTCTTACCTCAGCAGTGTCTATCTCATGCCTGCTTCTTACCTCAGCAGTGTCTATCTCATGCCTGCTTCTTACCTCAGCAGTGTCTATCTCATACCTGCTTCTTACCTCAGCAGTGTCTATCTCATGTCTGCTTCTTACCTCAGCAGTGTCTATCTCATACCTGCTTCTTACCTCAGCAGTGTCTATCTCATGCCTGCTTCTTACCTCAGCAGTGTCTATCTCATGCCTGCTTCTTACCTCAGCAGTGTCTATCTCATGCCTGCTTCTTACCTCAGCAGTGTCTATCTCATGTCTGCTTCTTACCTCAGCAGTGTCTATCTCATGCCTGCTTCTTACCTCAGCAGTGTCTATCTCATGCCTGCTTCTTACCTCAGCAGTGTCTATCTCATGCCTGCTTCTTA